GTATTATAATACCTATTGATCTGCAATTTATTGAGTTCCAAGAAGAAACTCTACTTTTAGAAACATTGGTTTAATAAGTCTAGAGCCAAGCTAGACTTTAATAAAAGTATATTGCATATAAGGTAATTAGGTAAACAAACTTCCATTAGTGCAATGCATTTTAGTAACAGGGTTATTAAACAAGAATTTGAAAATTTTACTAATGAGGACGAATAGATCAACAAACTGAAAAATAATAATGAAGAAATTCATAAAGCTTTCTACACCGATGAGTGTGTTTCAGAAGAAGATAAATTTTTTTATAACCTATAAACATTTTAGAACCCAGCAGTTTATCTGACAAAATTACTAAAAATCAGCAAGAATCAGAAAAAATTCTCTTTGACATTAACAAAAACCTTTTGACAGATCAGCAACAACTGATACAGAATCTGTTACAAAAGAATACAAATATTTTCGCAAAAAAAATCAGTAAAACGGGCCAGACAGTTGGACTTGAATGTACTAACTTAACATATTACAATTAATACTAATAATACTCTATCTATTAAACAGTGTCTATATAGTATGTCTTGAGATGACCAAAATTTTTTTCAAAAAGAAATATCGGCTATGAAAAAGCAAAGGATCATTTGACCAATTAAGAGTCCTTAACATTGCCTATAGCACTTGTCCCAAAAAATAATAGAAATAAAAGAATTTGCATCAACTACTATAAATTGAATTCTATAACAAAAAAAAATGTTTATCTCTTACCTAACATTAATGAAATTTTAACAGTATTTGAGGGTGCCAAATAGTTTACTAGTCTTAATATAGCTAGCAGATATTGGCAAATAGCAGTTAAAGTAGAAGATCAACTCAAAACTGCTTTCATTACAAAATTTGAAACTTATAGCTTTAACATAATACTGTTTGGGTTGTATAATGCCTCATCCACTTTTCAACACTTGATGAATCATATTTTTGACTCTTTTATTAATCAATTTGTAGTAGTTTACCTGGATAACATTATTATATATTCTAAAACTTTTGAGGATCATGTAAATTATCTCTGACAAATATTTAATAAAATTGTGAAAGCAAGTCTAAAATTGAATGCTAAAAAGTGTTTATTTTTTCAAAATAAAATTAAGTTTTTAAGACATATCATTGGTATCAATAGAATATTCTCTTACGAAAACAAAATTCAAAAGGTTAAAGACTTCCCTGTTTCAACTACAGTTAAGAAAATATAAACATTCCTAGGTCTTGCATCATATTTTAAAAAATTTTTAAGAAGTTTACAAAAATTACTAAACTTTTAAATTTGCTCTTGAAAAAGGATAAGCTATATTACTGGACTAATGCTCAAGAAAAGGCATTTCAAACTTTAAAAGCCCATTTAATAACATTCCTGGTGTTGTGATATTCTGATTTTAATAGGCTATTTTACCTTTATATAGATGCCTCAATTCTAGGATTAGATGCTGTATTAGCCCAGTTAGATAATAATAATAAAGAATATATAGTAGCATATGCAAGTCAAAGTTTAAATCATGCTGAGCAAAACTATTTCATATCAGAGTAAGAATGTCTTGTTATTATCTGAGCAGTAGAACATTTCTACCAATATCTGGAATCAAAGCCATTTTTCTTTATCACAGGTCATGCATCATTACAGTAGTTGAAAACCTTAGAATTAAAATATAAATAGGTGAGATTGATCTTTAGATTGGAGCTGTATAACTTTACTATTATTCATCGGCCTGGTCATAAGCATTATAATACTAATGCTTTATTAAGGTTGCTTAATAGTTAACAAGAAAATGAAGTACAAGTGTGTCATGTTGAGGTAGAATTTCAAAGTGCAGATTAAAATGATTAGGCTTATCAGGAAGTATCAAAAGTATTATTGTTTAACCCACCTGCATATATCGTTAAAGATATTTAGCCATATTGAAACATTGAATTTACTAAATACTAAATTAAATATGACAACCAGAAGTGTACCTGGTATTACATCAAATATCTTAGTAGCTGTTTTGGTTAAAAACAAAAGGAAAGTATTTGTCATGTAATTGGAAAGGTCCGCTTGCACAATGTTAGTGTAGAGATTGATTATACTCATCAGAGAATAATTGTGCTAAGTATTATTGTGATTTGAAACTGTGGGCCACAATAAAAAGACATTTAGTAGAAGAAATTATCTAGAGTTACTGGCCCACTCCAAATGAAGACAACAATCTAATGGACAACTCATCAGAATATACAAAATTACAGAGTTGTCCAAAACGAAAAAAAAATCCAAATCTAAGAAAAAGAATAAAATTTTTGTTAGAGTCAAAAATTTAATCAAACAAGATGATGCAGAAAATCACTTAGTGAACAGACTCTAGTGGCTGGATCTATTACATATCCCAACACAACATCAATTAGAAAAACATAACAACCTTAAAGACACATACCTTTGTAATTCAGTATGGTGGAAGGTGTCCACCCTATTGTTACATACTAATCAAGAATTTATGCCCATCTACAAATGACGCTAAACTTTGCAAACTGGTTACTACAACTATATAACTAGCCAATTTTTAAAGTAAAATAGCCAATAAACTACACCTAATTGTACTTACATTTTTTTTTTACTTTTTTTTTATTAGGCTATATAAATTTAATTAATTGTTTCTCATAATCTGATCAGGTTAAATTTTGTAAACTTTTGAAGAAACTATTTTTATATGTTTTAATAGCCAGATGGAGGTTCAAAAAATTTTTTGAAAAATTTTATAAAATTTTATATATATAATTTTTAAAAAAAAGCCAGTCAGCTGGGTCACTTTTTAACTTTAATATTATGAGAAACAAAAAATTAAATTTGTATGGCCTTACTATTTTTTTTATTATTTCTTTTCTTTATATTGTTATTTTTTTAAAGAAAATAAATCTGATCAAATATGAAGATATAAAAACCTTCTTAGAGACAGCTCAATATCCATCATAGTTCAATGTTCATCCAAAAAAATTGTTAAAATTACAAAGTAAATTCTTTGTCATTTATAACTAATTACTCTATAAAAGAGATCGATGAAAAAGCAAGAAGCCTCAGTTACTAAGAGTAATAAAACAGGAGAAATTAATTCTATTATTCTTTAAATTCATATTTGGGAGTGGAAAAGATGTTTGACAAAATTTGTGATCGATATTACTGGCCCCAAATGTATGAATACATTCACAGATATGTTAAAACTTGTGATCAGTATCAAAAACAAGGAAAATTTAGATTCTGTGGCCCTTTACAACCTATAACTGTTGAAGCCCCATTTCACAAAATCAGCATTGATTTTGTAGGCCCTTAGAACAGACTTTAATAATAAATTATCATATTATTATTACTATTGATTATATGACAAAATAGCTTTAAGCTCAAGCTATACCTACCATCAGCACCCAACAAATAGCCCACTTTATTTTTTAACAAATCATTTGTCAGCATGGATGTCCAGCTTATATAATATCAGATAGCAGACACCATTTTAACAATGAAGTGCTAAAGTTCTTAATGAAGAATTTTGAATTAAATACTTGTTGATCACACTATATTATCCACAAACAAATGAATTAGTAGAATGATATAACCATACCTTATATGAATCTTTAGCAAAATTAATAGACCAGATTTGGGAATAGAATACATTAATATTATTAGTATTATTTGCATATTGAACATCCAAACATTTGACAACTAAATTCACTCCATTTATCTTATCTATAGACATGAAGCTAAAATTCCTGATTTTCTACTATTGGGCACAACAAAGAACATATGATGAATCAAATAAATATATTAGTGAATGACCTACCAATTGACCAAGTATAGCTAAAGAAAATATTAGTAAATCTTAACAAGGTCAAATTTAGATGGGATAAAAAGCATAAAAGAGTTGTATAACCTTTAATATGAGTGATAAAGTTCTCTTATTGGATGTCACTCAACTCGGAAGACATGAGAAAATTTCTACCAAAATGGATAGGACTATATGTTGTTTATGTTCGTGTTGTACAAAACATATATAATCTGTACACATTAGAAAATCAGATTCTGGAAGTACTGCGAAATGCTTTAATATTAAAAAAATATAATGAAAGAGCTTGATCCATATAAATAATGTTCATAAAATATTTCAGGTTAGTATTTGTTATTGCATTTATTGATTTGCAGAAGCTTATAATTAAGTAGAGAAGAAATTGTTACATAGGATTTTTTGTCACTTAATCTAAATAGATATTCCTAGCTATAAATCATCTGATTTACTCCCAACGGGAAGATATTTATAGATTAATTGTAAATCTTTTAGATTCCACATGTTTTATCAAGTTATTCTAACTATCATATATTTTCATCTTTTTTATATTGCATCTTCAAGGTTAGCTAAAAGATAATAAGCAATATCAAACACTAACTAGGCCAAAGCATTGTACATCATAGCTATTAAAACATATATAAAAGACCTTATCCTTTTGTCTGAAAATAGGAGTTTGTGTCTTCACCTTTTCTATATAATATTATATCTATTACTGTATTTGTTTTATTATTTATTATTAATAAACAATCATGTTTTCATACACATTAAATTAATTTATATCATTAAGTGACTTAATAATCTTGACCATATAACCATTGTGAAGGAACTTCATAATCGATATTTACTTGCTGAATAAGAATTATATTACCTACATACTTTCATGAACATTAATATCTATGAGCTTATCTAATATATACTCTAAATATTAAGTATATTATATAGTTATTACAACTATTTGTATCCTTATATATATTTAGTTGCCATCTCTTTCAATAGAGCCTAGTAAAATCCTCTTTGCAAGTCAAATATTCAACACCCTTATCCAATTAAATCACAAGGTCATAGTCTTCATATTATAACTGTTATGTTTCTTAAACTACTATTAAGAGGCGTAGTTCAAGTATAATACTAGAACTTATAAAGTTGGTAGGTTCATTAAGCAATGGTCAATAACTCCTTAGATTTTTCAGATGCTAATTGCTTAATAAATGTCTTGCATTCTTGTTTCAAGCTACTTTTTTTATAAGAGACTTCAGCCTATAGTAATAGGCAATTGCGACCTATGATTTATTCAGTCAGAGAAGATTCTTACAAATTGATAATACTTTATCTTTCCATGTATCACCTGAAGGGTCTTGATTGAAGTGTTAGAAATTCTGCTATGCTGAATATCTTGGAGAAATTCTGGCATCCTTTGACAAAGCTCAGACTATCATTTTATCATTTGGGACTTTTAAAATTTATAAGTTGGGTTTGTTGTTCGTAAAATAAAGAATACTATCAGAAGATACTAAGTATGTTCCTTTCAGATTAGTTTTTTCTATTTGGCTCTTGAGTAGGATAAGAGTCTTTTAGATATTTAAAGAAATCTCCACAGGGTTCATAATAAAATTTTAATTATTCTTTTCCTCTTTAAAAAGGTCCAAGAAATGGCTTTTTATAAGAGTTGTAGCTAATATAGTTAAACAGAATTCATAATTATTACCAGAGATGATAATATGACAACCAGTTTCTATGATATCTCTTTTTAAGCACGTGATTATTGATTGTTCATAGTTTGTACAATCTGCTAGATAATACACTATAGATATAATAGGGACCCAGATTTTGGAGTTCTAATTTAGTACTGTATAATGTAGCTAGTTCACTTCTATATAAGAGAACTTAATTATCAATCTTGTATGATTCTATTTTTATTCTTTTTTTATAGTATTTTTTTTGCCAATCTTGTGATTTTTTTTATTTTATTTATAGCCTGTTGATATATTACTGTTAATTTTCTATATTTTTTCTAATTGTTGGTATATTAAGGATTCTAGCTTTTATTTTATATTAGATTTAATCAGGGAGATCACAAGCCTAAATTTAATTAAGAGGACAGCACTATACTTATATATTAGGAAAAAGAGCTTATGTTTAGTAATAAAGTAATAGATTATACAATAAGCAAAAATAGCTAGTGTTATATATTCATTCTATATTTGTTCAAATTAGTTAACTTATTTAATACTCTACAAAGAGTACATTAAACTGTTCAACCAAATCATTAGTTTGTAGATAATATATTGTAGATTAATAATGGATAATACACATTTTCTTACAAAGAGTATCAATAATCTGTTTGCAAAAATAGGACCCTCTATTAGATAATAATTTATTAGAATAACTATGTTTGGAAATAAGGTTTTCAAAAATAAAATTAGCAACAGTTCTGGTATTAGTTTATTAATAGAACAAGTTTCTGACTACTTTGTAAGGTGTTCAATAACTACTATGATATATTGGCAGTTTTTAAAATTATGGGAAGTGGTTTTACAATATAAATTTCTATATTATCAAAATTTGGCCAATTTTGATAGATATAAATATTCTGAAGTTTGTGTTTATTTTATTTTTTAGCACTATAGATATTGTTTTCTATTTGGACTAGTAGTATTGAGTAGTGATTTATTAGTAAGTTGCTTCAAATCTAAAATGTCCAACAAGTAGATAATTGTGCATGCTAAATAGAACAGCTTAGACTTCTTCTTTTCTTAAAACTCAAAAAGGATAGAAAGAGTTATAGAAATATTTTATAGAGTAGATTATTAATTACTCTATAATGCTAGATCTTATGCTTTAGATCTTAAATTTGTTTTTTAATATATTGAAAAGATCATTAATGTTCTGAAGAAACTTAAAATAAGTATTATAAAGTACTGGATCCATAATCTTTAACTAATTTAATATTTAAAATTTTGAAAAACCCTAATACAAATAACAAATAGTTGTATTAACAAATTTAATAATAATATGTTATAAATATTTCTTATTAGAATATACAAATTTTTAAAAATTTTGTGTTTTGTTTAATTTTTTTAGGAGAGATAAATAGTGCATACTTTGAGATAATATCAAAATATCTACAAATGAACTCTACTAGCAATAATATATATTATGAAAAAAATCTATAAATATTAGTAAGAAGAGGCTGCCAGAATACTATAACCTGAACTGAATTAATAAATTTAAAAGATAAGTATTTTGTTTTCTTTATTTTTTTTCTTTTATACTATATTTACTAAAATATCTATTTAGATATGAGACAAGCTATTAATATTAGAATGATGCCTTCTAGACTTATAAACAGTAGTAATAGAATATATTATCAGAGCTATAATCCATTAAGCAAGCTAAGTTTATAGAAGTTTAATCACAAATAGAGATGAAAAGAAGAATAGTCAGTATACAAAATGAATTGGTTCTTATAAAAGTATCTAATAGCCCAAATGACTACTAGGCATTTCTTTTCTATACAGAATAATTTCTCTCAGCTGGAATAAAGCTGTAGCTTATATAAGAAACCACTCTTTCTTAATAATTATCATTATTTTAAATATGAATAGCATCTAAGGCTTGATCAGAAGTATTAATAAAAAAAATAAAGTTTTAAAAAATTGGTGTAAACAAATACTGGAGCAGTTATTAATTTACTTTTAGGGTTTCAAAAGCCTCTTATTAGTCAATAGTCCACTTATAATTAACATCTTTTTTAGTAGCCAGTTTAATAATATAGCAATATTGGTGAAGCTCTAATGAACTTTTGATAGTAAAATGCTAACTCCAAAAAACCTCTCAATTATTTAATATTTAGGAAACAGAAAAATTCTAGACAGTTTTAATTTTTTAAAGTCAGTAATAACACCTACATGATTAATAATATGTTTTAAAAATTTTACTTATGCTTAGCAAAATGACATTTGGTGGTTTATAGCTTTAGACCAGCAGTGATTAGTTGACAAAAGACTTCTTTTAAATAAGTTATATATTCATCAAAATTTTTAAAATAGATGTTACATTGTCCAAATATATAACTATATATATGCTGATTAAATCCTAAAAAATATAGTTCATTAACTGTTGAAATGTAGCAGAAGCAGTTGCTAAGCAAAAAGGCATAATATTAAATTGAAAGGTGCTAAAAAGAGTTGTAAAAGCAGTTTTAAGTTGATCTGATTCTTCAACTTTTATTTGCTAGTATCTATTAGCAAAGTCTAAAGAATTATACTAGTATGATTGAAGAGAGCATCTAGAAAATCATTGATATAAAGAAGTAATAATTATTTTTAACAGTAATGGTATTTAACTTTTGTAATTTACGCAAAATCAGTTACATTAACACCTAGAAATTGTTGGAGTCAGAAATGTTGCTTAAACTCTAAACTTCTAATTTGATAGAGATCTTGATGATCTTTATAATAATAATCAAAAAGGTTTTGAACAGTTATATTATTATTTACTACAAGGGTTTGACTTGATATTGTCTTCCTTAAGATAAGTATTTCTGCTTTATTATAATAATATTTAACATTAGATGATTTATTTTTTCTTTTTATATTTTTGCTTTTTAATTATCTTCATTAATAATATTATCTGTATTAGAGTCAAAATTATACATCTTAACTTTTAGTGTGCTAAAGTCTAGGTATGAATACTACTCATTATCACTAGAACTATCTGAATCAGTATTAAAATAAACTAATAGAAATAGACTATCTAAATTAAAAAAAGAAACAAGAATCTTTTTATTAACAAACCTCAACCTAAATATAAAGCAAACAAGCATCTATAGAGAGATAAACCAAAAAGATAGAGGATAAAGAGTTATAAATGTTAAACTAGTACAAAATAAGGTTCTTGTATGAGGTATCAGTGTGTTTACAGAGAAGATATTATTGTCTTTATTATTAAATAATAGTAGTAAAAGGAGCAAATTAAGAAGAGAATAATATATATTAATAAGAGAATCTGAATAGAGTATCAGAGGCCTAGACAAAGACAAGCAATTAGAGATTTCATTTGTATTTATTTCAGAATATCTATAGATTCTATCTTCTATTCCTCTTCTTCATATTCTTTGTTACTATTCTCTTTCTCATTTTGATCTCTTCTTTTCAACTTCTTTATTAACATCATAAATTGTAATAAAGTAGTTTTTACCAAGAAGGATATAGTAATCTTTTTAAATTCTATGAGAAAATAGCTTTCTTACCCTTCTAGATATAGGTTATTACTGAAGCTAATCAGTCAATTCTAGTTTGGGCTTTAGAAAAATAATCATTACCAATAGTTGCTTGATATAATTCTGCATCTATAACAATGAGATCAATAAAAATTTCCATACTTCAATTTTAAAAGGAAAGTTAAATATTTTTACTAAAGCCTTTTACTTTTACTATAGAAATTGATTACATTCATCATAAAGGAATATTTGAACTTGATATCTAGATTTTAGAAGAGATGTAACAAAACAACACTTCCAGATGAACTGCTTTTAATAATTAGAGAAATAGTTGTACCTAAAATCTGAGCATCACAATAAAAGGTGGTAAACTTTTTTTAGAGCTGATACTAATATTTGCTTTTACTTTTTTTTTGTAGAAGCCTTTTTTCTATAGACTCTGACCCAATTCACCTTATAATGCAAAAGCAATATAAAAGTGTTGTCCTAAGTAATATTAGCAAGCTTATCCTAGATATCTGTAACAATCAAATAGGGATGCAATTTGGAAAAGTTCATTTTCTTAAACTTTTTTATAAATGACACATTTAGACCTGATAGTAGCAACCTTAAGTGAGACGACCAGAAGATCTGCAACTACCTTGGGAATTATTAACTTTTTTCTTTTCTTCTATTAATTGTTCTAGAGTTTTTTTCTCTAACTCCACTTCTTCTTTTTTCTTACTGAGGTAAGCTAGCTCTTGATTTTAAACTATATTCTTTATTTTACTTTTTTTTGACTAATATATTTGTATTTTCTGGCTAGATTTCTAGGACCTGATCTAGATTAGCAAGTGGTTCATCAAAATTTTTATGAAGAAAGTACTTTTTACTTTTTCTAATCAATTTTATTCTTATCTCTGTTTCTATGATTGTTTCAAATTAATGTTTCTATATCACTAACAAATTCTTCTATTATTTTTTCATTTGTCTCATCACAAATCACCTTCCTATCATCATCATTTTCACTATTATTCACTTTTGTATAGATGTAATCATCAGGTTTAAGGTTAGTTCTTTTATTTAATTCATTATCTTTAATATTCTTCGAATACTTCTCATTCACACTTTATATACATTGTTACTTATTTTCACAGGGTCATTACTCTCGTTAGATTTTTGATAACAAACAGATGATCTACAGCTTTTACTAAATCTTTTTCATGAGAGCAATCTTGGTCTTCACTTCATCAGCAGGATCCATCTCAGCTGATTGTTGATAATAAACAAGTGCCTCATCCTTATTCTTTTTAGTCTTTTTAACTTGCATCCTATTATTTATTTTATCAGGTTTTTGGTAATAGATGAATACAGTAGGTTCATACTCTTCAACTTCTATTTCGCCTTCGATATTCAATTCATTTTTATTATTATCTTCGATGTCTTTCAGACAATTAAAGTAAGCATCATAATTATCATTTTCTTTTTCTTTGACTTTCTTAACACTAATTCCTTCTTTATAACTTGTATTAGCAGGCTTTTTATAATATTTGAATATCTGATGTTCATTCTCAACTTCAATTTCATTTCAATAACAGTGACCAACATTACTTGTTCTACTAGCATCTTTTATGTTGGCTGGTTCTTGATGAATGAAGGCTTCATATTCACTCTTTTTGTCCCTATTTCATTTTGATGACAATTAACAAGCTTGTTTATTCCATCAGCATGACCAGGACTATTTTCTTTATTATTACTTAGTCATTTTCGGGTTCAGATACCCAAATATCCAAATCTTCAAGGTAGCTGTCAATTAAATCCTCCAAATCTACTTCTTGGTTACCTTTGGGAACATTTTGTAATTTAAGGATAGTGGTCATGGCTGGTAGACTTGACTTTTCTGGACAAACTTTTTTACAAGATGCTTTGATAAGTTGAGGTGGTCATGTTGTTTCTTTTATTTCAAACTTCTACACAATTATTATATTTTCTAATAGTCCCAATATAAATTCCAGGCCTCGGAAATCTGCCTTTTGTCTAGAGCTTCAGAAAACTTTAGATATATTATTTTTAAAACTATTTCATACTGCTCTGTAGTAAGGGTTGTAAAAAGCTGAGCACACATTTCATCTAAGCACTTTCATTCGAGCACTCAAGGATAGGGTGGCTTCTTCTTTGGCATCAGGGATACAAGGTTTTTTTAGAAAAAACTTTTCCTACATTTTTCCTAGAAGTGGTTGTGAATCTCTCTTCTTAAAATTTGACAAATTTTCAATTATATCGTCAGGAAGTTTGGAAACATTGTTACCCTGGGTATATGGGACATAGAGGATTTGTATTTGTTGGACAAGAGCTCTGGTCTATACAACTAGATTTTCAATAGCAGCGGGTTGGTAAGGCTAGGTAAGTAGATTATATGGTAGAGTCGAATTAAAACATTGAGCATATTCTTGTTTCCAGCTCATAGATGGTTTTTTTTGATTATTTTCTTTAGTTTGTCCAATAGGTTAATACTATTTTATTAATGTTAGGAGGGGTTAATTATTTATTCCACATGACTGGCACCAAATGTACCAGTTGGTTGGAAGAGTGATGCACAATAAATGCACAGTATAGCTCCAACCCCTACTAGAAGTTATGTGAATTAAATAATAAAAGGCTTCTATAAGGCATGATAATGCTATTAGAGCGATTTAATGATTGTGTGTAATTAAGAAGAGAATATCATTATATCCAGGTTACTTTATTATAAGAACGAGGTTCTTCTTTTTATTATAATTAATGCTTCACTTTTATATATTTCAATTAATATGAAAGAGAACACATTCTGGAATCTATTTTATGACATCAGAGGTACATGCTATCGTGTTAGCCTCATGTCAATATGCACACTGCCTCCTTCAAAGGCTTTAACAATCATGATACTAATTTAATTTAAATAATTAATTACACCAAAAAGGGTAAGATTATAAAATTAAATTTGTTATATTAGATAAATCACAAGGAAGACAGTATTATGTTTAAGCTAACGTGGTAGAACTTGATACAAAATGAATAGATGTGATGAATCATTTGCAGATTTAAAGATATCATTAGAAAGTGAATCAAAAAATGCACTACCATTGAATCATTATAGTGAAACTCACTGCATGATGAATAGATATGACAAATTACTTGTAGTTTAAATAAATCATCAGGAATCACACCTAATGATGCATTTGTATTGATGTGTTATAGAGCAATTTATATTTATCTTACATTGAATAAATATGAAGAATCATTTATATAATTAAATAAATCATTAAAGTTGAATCTAATACTATATCTGGAGTAAGCTGTAAAACTAATTATATAATGATTAAAATAAGGAATCACTAAAAATCGAATTCCATAATGTGTAGGCTTTGAAAACTTGCAAATAAATATAAAGATCATTTGCAGATTTCAATGAGTTATTAGAAATCAAATAAGACAAGGCAGGTGCATTAAATCATTATAGTGCAGCTTATAGAATAATAAAACAGATATCAAATCTCTTGTAGATTTAAATAACTTTACAAAATCTAATAATTTCAAGATATGCAATTATTTGCAAATAATAAGCAATATATAGTGCATTATTAGTACTAAGTTAACAATTTTAATAATTTATTACAAGATTATTTTATTATCAGCACCTTTAAATATCTAATAAATTAATTAAATAATAGTAATTTTTAGACCTTTATTATTACTAAAATATTGATAATATATTGCTAATATTAGCATTATATTAGCATAATAATTGATATATAATATTTATAAAATTAAAATATAGTAATAAAATGCTAATAAAGTGCTTATATTTGTAAAATTTTGTATTTTAATAGTACATTATCAGTACTGTTAAATTGCTTATTTTTAGCACGTTCAATTTTAATAGATTTTTGTAAAGAAATTATTAGAATTAAATCGAATAATATGTTCGTATTAAATAGTTGTTGAATAACTTATCACTTGATAAATACATACAAATAATAATTGCAGAACCAAATGAAACACTGAAAAAAGATCAAATGGTATACTAACATTAGGAAATCAAACTAAATAATGCAATAGCATTAAGTTAACATGGTGCTATTTATCTTATGATGAAGAATCATTTACAGATATAAATGTTAAATAGTGTGTTAGCAAACCAAATATATATGCATTGGAATTTGTGAAACAACTCATCGCAAGATGAAGATATATGAGGAGTCACTTGAGAAATCAACAAAATGAAGCACAAACAATGATACAGATGCTACTTATTGTATGAGGAATAAATATAGAATCACCTGTTGATTTAAATAAATTAACAGAAATTATAACATATTATGCAGAAACATTAAATCAGATGTGAAGAACATTCTGCAAATACAAATAAGATACTATAAATCAATCTGCAGAAAGTTGGATATTGAGTAGTGATATGGGCCAATGCCAAACACTTGGGCTGACCCGGCTGACAAAATTACTTGGGCCAGTTGACTGAGCAAACTATATTATTAAAAAAATTTTACCCAAACCAAAATCACAAAACAGTTCTATAGAATTATCTCCTATTGATAATTTTGGTAATTTTTCTGTAATTTTACTGAACAGTTTTCATATCTCCAAAAATTCTTGACAAACATGCTTAAGTTTTATGTTGGTTGACTGTCTACTATCTCAAAATTTTCTGACATTACACTATCTTTTTATTTTAGGTAGTGTGCCTGCAAAAAATTGTTCATCCCCAGTAATTTTGATCAATCAAAATTTAAGATCAAGTGTCGAAACAAACATGTTTTAGTTTTTAAGTAAAAAAAGTTATATGCAAAATGAAATTCAAGAAAACTATGTTGTAATTAGAGTTATGATTGAAACAATAAGGCACCTCTTAGTAAATCATTACAAGAAACATTTTAATTAGGCTGCAGAAGGCAGTATCATAATTAAAAATTAGTTATTCTTGTTTTATTATAAAAAAGTGGGTTTGTTTTAATTTTTAACGTTATAGCTAATTCTGAAATTCAATTGATCAAAATAACAGGAGGCGAACAATTTTTGTGAAAGAGCTAGATGCATCTATTTTTTCTTTGATTATGATTTAATGCTGGCCAAATCTATGATTAATTCTAATCTAATTTGATAACTTAGCCAAAGTTCTGGAAACTTACACCAATTATCTCAGTAACTTAGCATTTAAAATCTAACTTATTTGAGTCAACCTGCCCCTGTGAAGGTAAGGTTGACCTTCAACCTGCCTGGTTGATGGGCTGGCTCAGCCTGTATAGCACTAAGAAGTAAAGGCCTGCAAATTCATAATTTTGTGACCCGGGCCCGGCCCACAATTAGGGTTAAAAATTTTTGCCAGCCTGGCCCAGTCTGCTTTAAAAAATTTAAATTTTAGGCCCACCTGGCCCGGCCCACAATATATAAATTTTAAATTTTTAAAAATTTAAAATAAGGATAAAAATATTATAATAAAGTAAAATCTATATTGCCAATTAGTAAAATTTATATTGATTAACTAAATTAAATAAAATATAAAATGCAATATAGATTTTGCTCT